GCTTGCGGTTGGTATGGACACTAATGCTGTTTGTTCAGGTCGCTGAGGCAGTTCTTTACCAAGATCATCAATATCCCATTATGTATTAACCACTAAATCAAACAAGTGGTACAAGTTACAACCTTGTTCCCATTTACATCAGTTATCGATCATTTAACATAATATTATTTATTAATTACTTTGTGTTTTTTAATCGCTTAACGTGTGATGCAACGCTAGCACCAAGTAATACAGTTATGTTTAGTAGCTCATATAACTTTTACTGCATTATTATTTTTTGTTATGCGGCAGTCGGCCGACTTTTGCACCATATTCGTTCTCAATTAATGTTTATTTTCACATTGTTTATTTGTGTGTGTAATAAAATATTATCTTTTCAAGATAATTCTAATCATCAAAATAAATAATGTCCTCTGATATTATGATGTATGTGCATGAACGATAAGGGCTATCTCACCTATATATTTTATATGTATCAATGTCAGTCAGTAGGTTAGACGCTTAGACGTCTATCACAAGAAAAATAGGTATAGTTACAATGAATTGAACGAATTGAATAATGCATGTAAGTGGCAGTGCTGCATTGTAGGTAATGAGAGGTGTCGGGCGAGCCGCGTCCGGGCCGCCCCACCGCCGCCGGATCGATACAGACGCGGCCTGCCCTGCCGCCGCGGCTTCCCTGCCACCTTATACCCCTGCCAATTCACTAGACCCCTCTCGACTTCAGAAAGACGAATAATATGCTATTATTATTAAACGGAATTAACTCATAAAAAATAGAATATAGGACAGTTCTGCCAGTACGTATACGATACCTTTTAGCGTGACTTACGAAGGATTTTTTTAAAAGAAAGGTGGAAATTGGTTTATTTCATATTAAAATTTTTATCACTATTGTTATCTCGAGGACAATATTGATGATATGACTATAAAAAGGGACGACTAAAATAAGAAATTGTTATGTACTCAACATATACTATAAAATATGAGTAATAAATTCTCAATTTAAGATACATCATAATATTTATATGTATGGAAACCATGTTTACGTTGACATAGTGGGTAACAACGTGACGCGGGCTATTTATATACCTTTGTAAATTCGGTCTACACTCCACAGAGAGGTAAACAAAATGGCTGCACTGTTGACGATAAGTTATCGCTTCGGTTAATGTGTCGAGATACGTCGGCAAACGTAACGTTAAATGGGAAGTCACTAGGCACGATATGTCTAGTAAATGATAATATCTGGCCCTACCAGTATTAGTTCCTGGTAACCAACTTCATGAAACACTATTATGACGGATATCAAAATAATGTTGCATTAAGTATTAAATTTTTCTAGGATGCATTCAGATATCTTACATCAGTGGGTTGATCAAGAAAGGCCAGTCCTTTGTCCAAACAGGGCTTAAAATCCCAATGAACTTCCTGCTCATTGATACTAAATTGAAAAGCTAATAAATAAATTGTATGGTTCCGAATTTTATGCTCACCTTTCTAAAGATTGGACCATCAAAGTGGCATTTCTTTCAATGGTCTCTATTCACCAGAAATTTCTAAGAATAACAACTTTTATTTTGTAACTGTACCTTTGTTTTAGTCTTTTATCTTCAACAATAGTAAATATGTGGGTTCCTGCAACACTGGGAATCGTCGGAGTTAATTACCTCAGTGCCCTAGGACTGCCAGAACTCGAAAAACTGCGGCCAACTGCTAAAAGAAACTGAAAGACTAAATAATAAAATCTACATAATTTTCTTTGTCAAAACACAAAGTAACTTTCAGTTTTTCCTGTGAGGGTAACATGTCTGACAAAAGCCAGTTATTCCCGATGTATAATCATAGAGCAACTACTACGAATTCCTTTTTTTGTACAACTTTCTCTACCCAAGCCAAAACAAACCTATCATATGTATGTTTACCGTGCTTTTTTGTGTAGTCTGTGTATTTTTTTGAACGTACGCTTATAAAAACGGGCTGCCCGCCTGCCGACATCCATTTTAACCAGCGTGCAGAGTTGTTGCCTGTATCGAACGGCGATACCGGTCTCGAAATGTATCGCCACAACTCCGGTCTCTCTGGCTTATTTTTATTAAAACCGGCCAAGTATGCGTCTGTCTACACACGGTGGGTAAAGGGTTCCCTAACCCCACGTGTAAATAAATGCTCTATCATTTCGATTTTCAGATTTCAAGATTGGTATTTATTAAAGGTCTGAATGAATGTTACTATGAACCTACATTTTTGTATTGCATGATTTGAACGTGACCTCAAAAAACTTTGACGCATCCACAACACACGAAAAAATCCTAGTGGGGTAACTTTTTTTACTAACATATGTGCGCGCTTTTTGTATCCCTTGGTCCGAATGGAATGAATAAACTGAAATAGTGTGACTTTGGAAATTGAATTTTACTTCGTACTTTATGCCACTGTAATTCGGGGGTAAAAAGCGTGATTTAATGTTAATAACTTTGGAAATTAAGCTAGTATAGTAGTTACAACTTGCAAATGCAAGTTGAACATCAAAAAGGAGGAAGATGACTATGACTATGAGAAGTACCTACACAGTTTAACTGGCACATAATTATCAAGCAGAATCAGGATGGTTTACATGAATAATACTGCAAAGCTTGAATACAAAAATCTTCAACAAATGCATCCTACCCGTAGCGACATGACAAGATACACATACAGACACTGGCAGTGCAATCACAAATGCTGTGATACGACTCAGACCCAAAGATAATAATAACATGGCCCAAAAGACTAATTACAGTGAGCCGATCACAATTAACTGAGAATAGATGACTATAGACTATTAGATGACCCTATGGATTAGGTGACAGTTAGGTGAAGTGACTATATCCACAAATAGACTGGCAATCGTTGAATGCAAAAAAGCACTACTCTGTTGGATTATAGAGAACTTTAAAAGCCTCACATAAGTACTGTTAATACAAAAAAATAAGTAACAAACTACTGTGCAGTAGGTTTTGGTAATGTACTCATACATGTGTTAAATAAATACTGATTTCATTATAAAATTGTAATATTGATAACTATTTGCGCATCTTGTTCTTGTTTATTTTCTTTTCCATTGATTATTGTTTAAATTTCATGTTTATTTAAAAAATAACTAATTGTGGGTCTGCACAGTGAGTAGAATTTGAGTAAAGTAAAATATTATGTGGTAGCTTAAACTAAAGTCAATAAATAATACATAAATAGATAAATAAACTTACACCTTTGTTCCAAGGGGTATGCAGAAACTACAATAGTTATAATTTTTATAACAATGTACATACTCAGTATATTCATTATTTTCTTTTGCCTTTATCTTTGTAGCAATCAATAAATTATTTTTAGACTAGATCTTACCTTAACAACAACAATTTTATAATATCTTTATATCTATTTATATCGGTCAATATTTTATACCTCAACTAAATCTATATTAGGAATTTTTTTCAATATTATTATTAGTCCAAGGCAATTTATAATTATGTTAAGTATTAAAGCCATGCTTCTTAATTAAATCAATTATATACACTTTAGTATGGAAATTATCAATGCTTTAATGTCCATGATGTGAACTCCTTTTACTAACTCCCTACTAGCTGTATGAATATTTTATTTAGAACATAAACAATATTTCAAGCAAACCTAATCCTAAATTTTATTTTTCCTTTGTCCTTGTAACCAAAATAACTAAATTATGATTACACTGAACTGATCAAAGAGCAAAATCTTTTGTCTACAAGCATATCCATTTTGTTCTCACAGTAAGTAGGTACAATAAATCTCCATGTTGCAAGACAGATGCAGTGTACTTTCTGCATATCACACATAATATTTTAGAAGTCCCGACATTTCTCATTAATGTTAAAAAATATGCGATAGACATAGCAGCCAAAAATATATGATGAAATTTCAATATTTTGTTTTTCCTTACAGCATAAATAATTTTATTATTAAATTTAAATCAATAAGGTTTTTAATCACAACACAAATGCTAAATAACTTACGTTTACAAGCAGGCGCGTTGCAGCAGAAGAATAGACACAAAAACTTAGCTTGATGGCCTAAATCAACACATTATAATGTACCTCAAGTAAGACGCAGAATAAAATCACTAACGCAGTCCATTTATCGAGAGTGATGTTTGACTAAACTTCAAATCGATTAATTTTTCTACTCTACATGAATTTATAAGAATGTTAATAATTTCACATTCAGTCCACAAAATGTCACTGACTTGAAGATGAAATGACACTATTTAATTTTGATTCATACTGATTTTCACCAATTTCCAAGCTCTTGGAGAACAAAAACAGCTGGTTGCTCATTTATGTTTTTTTCTGCCACATATAGCAAAGCAAGCAAAGGCATAGTGTATGAATGCTTTGAAAATAGAAAACCGAAACTTACCGATACTTTACGGTAACCCTATTACTTTTAATTTTTTTATCTAACTAAAAAAAAGTCATAATGATATTTTAAATTATCATGCTCAATCAAAAAATATTATTAAAATTTACCAAATGTCCTTATTCTGTTTGTCATAATACTAGTTAGTATATATTTTTTTATAAATAATTTTAAAATGAAACAAAATAGACTAAATAATATGATTATGATTTTAAGGCTTAATAAATTTAGTTCCAATAGTTTTTATAAAATCTGACTGTAAAAGAAAGAAAATAGTATCAGCAAGGTTGAAATATTTTTGGACAGTAACAACACCGAATGGTTGAAACACAACGCAAAGTAGGGATTTTAAATGTTATTTCTCCACTAAAACTACCTACATCAGCTTTTTTACTTGTTTTATTTTGGGCAGCTTTTTGTTACCACTTTGAGTTCTTAAAGGGGATAGAGAACATTGTAGGTTGTGAGTTGAGTAATAATAATAAAGAATAAACCGTGTTTTGGGTATAAAGTAAAACTAAACTAGTTTTTGAACACATATTTAATAATTTTTATTAGATAGTAAGTCAAAGAAACACATTGAAGTCTTTACAAATTTCGTAAGTTTTCTCGTCATTAGAAGTTTGAAGAATTCCAATATAGTCATCGTCCTTTGATAAACATAAATTTTTCAAAATTTCTGAAGGCGATGGAATATTTTTATCTTCTATTGGTATAGAATCTATTAATTCTTCAATGTTTTGGTTAAAAATAACATCATCACCTTTATTTGATAATGAAGTATCCTGCACAGTTGACCCTAGAGATTTGTTACATTCCCCTATTTCATTAAAATTTTCAGCTATTATTGAAAAATGCTCCGATTCCATGTCTTCTAGAGATAATTTAGCTCCTGTGCGAACTAATTCAGCATTAGCTTCAGAAACATCAGTATAAGTCAAATTTTCAATCGCAGTAACTTGCTTATCGGTTATTTTAACATCCGGTTCAATATGTTTTTGTTTAAGTTTTTCAACTAATTCCCCTGCTTGTCTCACAACTGTTCCGGGTGGTTGTGCTTGGCACTTGTGAGTTCTTTGCGATACCTGAAAATATGTAGTAATTTTTATGTAGTTGTCAATTAGTATTCACATTACAAGTTTTTAGTATCGGGTAATGTAATAAAAACTTACTTTGTATCGAAAACTTTTTTGACAAGCTGTGCATTTGTATGGCATGACACCGGTGTGAATACGCCTGTGAACCAGATATGAAACCCTTTGTCGAAAACATTTTCCTGAAAAACAAAAACACAGAAGTGTTATCTGAATTTTGGAAATCGATCCATGTCTGTTAGGGTAACCGATGAACATACATAAAATCAATCATTTTAGAAATAATAAGGACCCATTTTTATCCTTTGGTAAAAAAATATCTGATAAATCAATGAGCTTACCGCAAGTTTCGCAAGAGAAAGGTTTTTCACCCGTATGTATACGTTGATGATTGTGAAGTGTTGATAATTCTTTAAAAGCACGTCCGCAGTAAGTACATGTGTGAGGCTTCTCATCGTTGTGATACAGTAGATGTTTATGGTACGACTGTTGAAATGTAAACGTTTTGTTACATTGTGCACAAGCGTAAGGAGTTTCACCTGGAATAAAACAATGGTGTAGGTAAAATGCAACTTCAGCCTTTAAGGACTAAGGAATCAATCTGATGTATGTGACGACAAGCTAAAAAGCATAAATAATAATTAAATGCTACTGGTAGTCCTTCAGGCGTTAAGAGTTAGCCAATGTGAATAGTTATTAAACGAAAAATGTTTTGTTTTGTAGCGAAAACGGCTCATATTGATTGTGATATAGGTTGATTTGTTCTCTTGTTTCGTAAATAAAATGTCTACTTATTTAAAATTATTCTGTTAGTACGAATTACCTCAACAACTAACACCAATTATTTATTTTAACCTGTATGAAGACGTTTATGTTTCTTCAGGAAATATTTGGTGGTGAAACATTTGCGACATACTTCACATTGCCATTGTTTATTGTCATTCCTTTCCAAATTTGATAATTTATCATCTGGTTGTTCTGAATTTCCTTCCGAACATTTATCTTTGGTATTATCCGAATTTGAATTACCCGACAAAAATCCGAAGTGTGCTACCCTCAAATGTACCATTAAAGATCCTCGCATTTTGAAATTTTTTGGGCACAAATGGCAGTGATAACGAGTAAAAGTTTGATTCGAATTTTCATCAATATTGTGAATTAAGCATCTATGCATTCTTAAAATATTGGCGTCAATAAATTGTAGACCACAGATGTTACAAGTTGTGTTTGTTTGTACGAGTGCTGTTTCAGTTTTCACAAACATTGGTTCACTACCTTGAGCAGAATCTGTGCGTCTAGAAATATCTATAACAGGAACGGTGTTCACAGACACCACGGGCAGTTTTGGATAAATTTTCACAAATTTAACAGGAGCATTTGTTGTAGATGACGGTGTTTTATTTTTAACTACGGACGTTTTCATTTTTTTCTGCTGTGTTATTACTTGCTTTTCAGGGCTAGGTTTCTCATCAGGAACTAATAACTTATCATTTTCTTTTCCTTTTGTTGTCAATATTTTCACATGACTAAACAAATGTATCGTAAGTTTATCTAAACCAAACACTTCTTCCTGACACACTGGGCACAGCAATTTATTTGTTGACACATGAATTAGCCTATCTCTTAATGACTGCACTGATTCAAATACACCATTATGTGAACAAACTGGACAGGATAACGATGCATCATGAGCACTCATTATAATAAGAAAAACGTTTGTCTTCTTTACGAAGTTAAATATAACCAGATAGTGTTAATACGCCACATGTGAACACGATAGTGCGAAACTATAGCTCTAATGAGTTATTTTTGGATGCTACCATGACTGCTACGCGTTTGGTGTATTGGCGGGATTTCAAGATTTATTATAAAATACAGAAAGACTTACTTTTGTGAAACAAACTCATTGAGAAAAGAATTATTTAGTGTAATAAAATTGACCATGTAACGTAATGAAATTGATTTATAAATTATATAAATAATAAAATCTACGAATTCGCATTCTTTAAAAATAGTTTTTATTTCTTCGTTATATTAATCATCCTTTTGAATCTTTTTCCTAGTATCTTGTTGTAAAGTACAGTTATATTTGTGGTTTTTTGTTAGTTTATATTCAGAATGTGCATTTATTATTTATCGTATTTTAGATTTTCGGAAAATAACGGTTCGTATTCACCTTCGACAAAGTATTGTCTCTGATAAGAACCAATGACAGATGTCACTTCATTTGTTATTTTGAAAAATGGCGGTGAATTTGTTTTGTTATTGTTGTTATTGGTGATGCCTAGTGATGGAAAATGAATTTTGTGAAATCGATTTAACAAAATAGTAGTTTTATATTGGGGTTCAAACTAATATTTTGTAGTTTTTTAAATATAATTTTTGCAATAATGACGGACGCAATAAAACCGCCTGCCTATATGGCTCATCTTTTAGAGGCTTTGGGATGGAATCAAGGAACTAGAATTCCTTTGGCAGATTCAGCAAATAAAGAGCTAGAATCCGTATTAATTCAGAGGTAAACGTTGTTTGTACCTTTTCCCATTTACATAATGCCCTTATATTATTAAAAAACTGAAATGATGCAATGAAATTGTATTTTCATAATTTCAGACAAACTGAGTTACAGCGTTTAAAAGAAGCTTTGACTTCGCAAAAGCAAAAGCGCGAAGATCTTAACAGCTACAAAAAACATGTCCACACCGAATATCAGGAAAATACTGTGAGTTTTGCTGATACTTTTTTACATATAGAAAATTAATTACCACATTTCGTTAGCTTAAGTTTATTTTTATAATTACAAGTTTCCCATTAGCATATATTCTTTGATCATGTAATGTCAGTTGTATCTCCTCTTGTTGTTAAGAATTACTTACTGACCAAACTAATAAAAAAACCTATAAATTAGATCTTTGTACATTGGGGACAATATTATGTTTTAAGTATATGCTTTGTTATTTCCAGCGCCTATTATTTGCACATAAACAGCAGATGGAACAAGAGGTGAAACTGCGGCAGTTATGTACCAATGAGGCAGATAGACTGGACAGAGATATGCTGGACTGTAACAAGCAGAGCAAGGATATCCAGGCTAGGATTGATAGGCTGCAAAGTAAACACTAATTTGATAATAGATCTGCCAATAGATAGAGATTTCAAACACATATTTCATTGTATCAAAGAATTGAAACATTATATTATCACTTTATTATATTTTTATATAAATTACTGTTATCAATAATTAACATTTATTTTTGTATAGTTTGATTAGTGAGGTGGTATAAACAAATTTTGAATTAATATTTCAGACCTGATTACCACATACTTGAAAAAGGCTGATTCTATGAAGACCGAGGTGTGTGGTGAGCGTGGAGCCTTAGCAGAGTGGCGAGCAGCACTTGAGAGATATGCCTGTGATATCACAGCTATTGAGCAGTTTACCAAACAGGATATTTCTAAAGCTAAGGTAATTTGTGGTCCAGTTTCAAATACAATTAGAATATCCAAAATATACAATGCATTAATATCTGAAGGTGCAATGTGCAACAGCATGAAGTTGTTCATATGTGGTCATAGTACTTTATTTATCTCTAAGTTTAAAATATTTCTGATAAAAATTGCACACCTACGGTTGAACATCTTGTGGCTGATATAATGATAAAGAAATATGCAAATGAGTTACAAAAATTGAATGTCTTCGAACATTTTTCCTTGTTCACCATATAAATAATATTATGATTTATATTTTTCAGAAATTAGAGACTAAAAGACAGAAGTTGAAACTGGAACATGACCGCATGCATGAAAGGCTGGTGCAACTGGTCTCCAACCTTAGTGCTGAAGAACGCGCTTGTGACAGGATCTCAATACAGGTACCTAGCTTGTTTCATTCCACAAAAATTCGACTATCTGTTGTTCGAAGGAGTCTGTAGTTATGGATTTAGAAGTAAGCCTTTTGCTGGTCTTTAATGTTAATATTGAGAACAGGTGATGGAAGGCATGGAGGAGAGGAAACAAATGATGTCAATGTGGACTGCAGCCGTCGAGAACTTGAGGCAACGCGACAAGGATATTAGACACATTCGGGAGGTAACAGACCTAACTACCTACCTACACTATACGTTATCGTCACCATGTTATATTGTATACTGAAATGCTACTCAATTTTAAGTTGTGCTTAAATGTCGTCCCATCTCTGTTATTTTACAAAGAATTTGTAGCGACTTAACTATACTTAAGCACGACTTATTGAGGAGCGTTTGAGTACTTGGATATTAGAGCAAAAGTTTACTTTTTTATGTCACGTCGTCGAGACGTCGACTTTTGTAAGAGAACGTAGTGGCTATAGGCCTACTGCTGTGTAAGCTAGCAATAGATAACTGGTGAAAAGCTTGAAATTAGTTAGTTACATTAGAAAACATGTTGTTACTATAATATGGCAGCAGTTGACACATAAACACAAAATAATTTACAGGACTATGCAGTACTGGAGGCTGAAGCGAATAACTTGGCGGAGCAGTGCCGCGAACAGCAAGCGTTCTGCGACCAGCAGCGCGGCAACAACAACGACGCCAGGCTAGAGAACATGGCGCTCGCGTCGCAGCTCAGCCAGATACGCATCTCTCACCAACAACTCATAGAAATCAATGCCACGCTTGATAGTGAGGTGGGATACCTTACATACCTTCTAATTCTACTGAAATTGCAACACTTGAATTGTCCAATTTTCTCTTCCAAAGACTGGCAGCGGACTTGCAACGCCTCCGATGTTGCCGATTGTCCGGGGCGGCACCAACTTATCCCATAAATAATACAATCTAATGTACTTACAACAGAATAAACTTTAATCATACAGGTCAGACAAACTTTGGTTACAACAGTTTAGGAAATAAGGCCAAAAATGGCCACTGGTTTAAGAATCCGTCAGGGTTCTTCCTTTCGACAAGTAACATGTAACTTTAAAACACATTGAAATAATGTTGCACCTTTAGGTACTCAACACAGACGCAAGGAGTTTTTGTGGAATTTCTAAGGTCTGTAACTGACTGTATATATTTGTATGTTCCAGGGAAAAAGTCTTCAGCGTGAATTGAGTAACATGCGCAACAGTCTGGAGAAGCTTCACGCTGAGAACAGAAGTATTATGAACGAGCAATACCGTAAGGATACTGCTCTCAAGGCGGCCGAAAATAAGGTAAAACATTATAACATCATTTATTTAGGAATCCAAAGTTAATTGGTTAGGTTGGGTGTTCAGTAAAAGGTCAAGCGATAAATCACATTTTAATACGATTTCAAATTTTATTTCAGATCACAGAATTGAAAGAAAAGTTGACGGATTCTATGGATAAAACAAAGTCATCAGAGAAGAGAGCTAAGGAGCTTGAAGATATACTGAATGTAAGTCCTTTTAATCTAAATACTAAGAAATTTATAGTAGAAACTAGCTATTTCCCGCGAGTTTGTCCGCGTAGAATAATTACTTCTGGCAGAACTTGAATTTTTTAATAACTTACGCAATGTAAGATTAACAATTTTTTTACACATCGGGAGACATTATCAAAATTATTACACGGTTCCGTGTTCTACGCTCATCACGGAGAATGTAGGAATCCAATGGTAAAAGATTTTTTTAAATCCGTACAGTAGGTTCGGAGCCTTTCCTCTGTATAATATTAGTGTAGATAAATAGAACATAATTATTGTTATTGTTCAGGACGAGGAGCGCTACGCGAGTCAGATAACGACGAACCAACAGCGCGCGATGCACTGCTCCTTTGTGGAACAACAGAAACTACTCAACCTTCAAAACGAAGAGAAACTGTTTTTTATGCACCTTAAATGTAAGTACTTATATAATAATAAATTTAGCAAGATTGCTAAAGGCAAAGATTGCAAAGATCTAGTATTCGATTTTCGAGATTCATTATTAGATTTAACATACCTACCCAGATCTCTTTTGTGGTTGATCAAAGGAGATCGTTTTTTTAGGCCTTTTCTGAAAGTGCCAACGAATAAAAATGGTACGTATCGTTAAAACTAGCCAATTGGAACAATAGTTAATATGACGTAAAAGTTGTAGGATCCAAAATGAAGAAGTTAAGGATGGCAGAGGTGCAAATTACGGCGTACAATGTAACACCCACGTTTCACTTTTTATGTTATAAGTCCCATCTAATAGGGGGTAAGCGTATTGCCATATACCGGGCACAATTCCAGATTACGTGCTGCTACTGAGATTTTTTTTTAAACCCAGTAATTCTTGGCCAGACCCGCACTTGAATTCGCAGTTCGCAGAAAAAGATTATATTTTGAAAGATATCGTTTATGTCTATATATTATGTGTGCTGCGCAGCTTCCAAGGCAATCTGCAGTAAGTTAGACTCCAAGAACCGCGGCATGCAAAGACTACTGCAGACGCAAAAAGAAGCGCTCTATAATGTTGTAAGTATTTACTTTAAATAGTTTTAATGAAGTTGTAGTTAATATTTTTTTGTCTACAACATTTAATTTGTATACTGGTCTTACAAACTATTATATAAAATTATTAGAAAACCAATCTTTTATTTTTAAAGCTGAATCATATCTGCATTATGTTTGAAGCTCTATACTAAAAAAATATATGAACTCTATAGTAAAATAAAATCATCCAATGACTTCTCTCGCCCTGGTGAGGCGAGAGGGAGTGTCAGACTCTTACTGACTAAAAACCACCCCATTCCTTCTCCTGTAATTCGAGCCGGAGCCCCGGTAACCCGTTAAGTCCTCCGCGGCTCCATATCGGCATCAGCCCTATTGGGCCCCATCTGATGCAGTTTATATTGAGTTGTTATTACTACATTACAGTGCTACCAAGTGGAGACTATCGGCGCCCGAGTGTCCCACATGGAGGGCGCGCAGGCTGAGCGGGAGTGCTCCGCGCTACTTGTGTCCAGGGAGAATAGGTAACGTGATGGATGGCAATATGATGGTTTGTATTAACATAACATCGCGCCTTTTATCCCCGAAGGGGTAGGCAGAGATGCACATTATGCCACTGTACAATGTAACACCCACTTTTCACTATTAATGTTATGAGTCCCATGTAATAGGGGGTGAGCCTATTGTCATATACTGGGCACAATGCCGTGCTACTACTGAGATTTTTTTAAATCCCAGTAATACTTTGCCCGACCCGGGAATTGAACCCGAGACCCCCCTTGTCCGGTAGTCGCACTTGCGACCACTCGGCAAACAAAGCAGTCCAATGGTTTGTATTATATTGGTATAATAGGTGATCTCAAGGCAGGTGTACCCAAATGCATCGAAATGAAATCTGAGTGCCTCAAGTAATTAAATTGGAGCATCAATGTAGGTATGTCAAGTTTGTATGTCAGTTACCCATTAATGCCAGAACGACTAATGGATTGGATCTGCATGAAAGTAGTTTAGTAGTTTTCTTTCTGTATTGCATCCCGTTGGTTTGGAATAATTTTCAAATAACTATCATTGGCTGAGCCGCTGTTAGAAACTAGTTATTCATAAATTTCTAAGTAATTTCTCCTTGATTGTTCTATACTTATTATTTTACTAACATTATATGGAAAATATTTCCAGAATGAAGAGCGTATATGCCCGCCACGCCGCACGCGTGTCCTTGCTAGAGCGTCACTCCGCCAAGCTGCACGATGATATGCGCCGCCTTGCCAGGGAGGTCGAGACCAAATCTGCGGAACATACTAATCTGGTACGTCTATTTTTAACCAAAGCATTATAAACGTACATATAAGTGCTATTAAATATAAAAAATGTCTAATAAATTAAGTATACAGCCTGTGACATAACGAATGGACCGCCTCGACCGGAGTGATACCACGGCCTCATAGAAAACCGACTTGAAGCAACGCTTGCGTTGTGCTTCGTCGTGTGAGTGAGGTTACCGGACGCCCAATTACCCTCCCCCTTTCCCAATCTCTCCAATCCCTTAATCCCCAACGATTCTCAAACTCCTAATCCCCAAAAGGCCGGTAACGCACTTGTAACGCATCTGGTGTTCCAGGTGGCCATGGGCGACGCCTATTAGTTACCATCAGGTGATCCGTCTGCTCGTTTACCGGCTTATGCCATAAAAAAAGCAATAATGTTTGTAAGATGGTTGCATCAAAATTAAGCATCGGGCTAGTGGCTTCTTGCCCACCTTGCGCTCCTATAGTTTTGTCACTTACAAGATCGTACACGTTTGGACTTGAAAGGCAGGCAAAGTGATTTTTGAGTTTGTTTCTTTTCATAGTAGTGAGTCACATAGTGCTGTACTTACTTTACTCAAAGTAATTTTTTATAGTCATTTAATACCTTACTTAACTCGGAACCTACTTGGCAAGATCATTTGTAATCATCTTCCCGTGCAATGTACATAATATGTGACATTAATATTACAGCAAAGTCGTCTAAAAACAGCGATGTTGAACGTGGAGGGCGGCGAGAAGGAACTGTCTTCAGCTCGCGACGCGTGGCGCCGCGCGCGCGTCGAGGAGGCGCTCATGAGGCTCAGGGTCGCACACGCCACCCGGGCCCTGTCGGGGCTCGACGATACTGCCTTCAATCTCGACGAGCAACGACTGCATATTGATGCTGTATGTATCTAGTGATAGTGGGCAATCTCATCATTATTATCTTTTTTGATCAGGAATCTGGCAGCCATTGTTGAAATTCCCTACATTTCCTGTCATTTCTCAGATCTTTGCATCTCTAATTCATCGTTTCTGATGAATATATTATGGTGTTAATCTAATACGGTTATGTATGTAAATACATAGCAGGTAACTGCTACTGACTTTTATTGTTATTAAGTAAGACTTTATTAAGAAGGACAAAAGTACCCACAACCAACGATTCAGATCATGGACACCTGGTCATGATCTTGAAAAGATGATAAAGTTGATGGGTCAACGGCATGTATCAAGACCACGACTTGTAAGTTAAAGATACCTAAAGCTTTTTCATTTCCTTGCAAGGCTTTGCCAAAGGAGTTTTCAACTCTCCAACACATGCTCATTACCGATCATGTTCTGTGACCTGCAGGCGATGAACGAGCGTCTAGTGGAGATCAAGGCCCGTCGTGAGATGTTCAGCGTGCAGAAACGTGCATTGTTCGAGGAGTGCGGCAAGCTACGCAGCGAGATACGGGAGCGACAACAACGCATCGACCAACTTATTAAGAGGTCAATAATTAATAATACTTACCTACATACTACCTACTTAAGGTTAAACTAGTCGCGGGCTCGAACTCAATCAAGGGCGTGGCCAAAAAGCGCTCTGTCTCATCTAACATCGTGTGCGACAGAAATAGTACCAGTGATGAGCAGTTAGACGCTATCTACATAGTATAAAGAACATTGCACGACGTATTGTTCGCACGCACACAAACACAGCAAAACGTCACTGAACGGTGCATATATCTGTGTTGTTGTGTGTTTACTCGTAGTAAAGTCGTACGCGCTGCTACGATTTTGTGATGCTCGCATGAATTTTAGTAATTATTGTCACAGGGCATTGTAATTACTGAATTTTTTTTATGATAAGTTGATAACACAATATCCGAAGAATCTATGAATAACGAAAGGCTAGGGATATAATTCTGTAGGTAAGCAGTTACTTTTTTTTCTAAGTACCAATAACTTTATGTACCTACTAAACCTAATAGGTACCTACAATATTTGTTATATTTATTTAGTTTTCGTAAAAGTATATAATTACCTAAAAGTATGTTTACTTGCTAAAAATAAAGTAAGAAACGTAATAAAAAGTATAGTTGACAACCCCAATCGAGTTCTCACGGAGCGCGATAGCCACAAAATATAAAGGTACCTAGTTAGTTCTATGGTATAACTACATACAAAGCGCGCTCGAGCACGTAGGTATAAACAGTGAAGCAGGTACATACCTACATGAGATTGACTTCTGTACCTATGTATTTTGCGCGAAAACATTCGGCTTGACAGTTGCCCGTTGATATTATCAATATTCCTACTTGCGGTTATCTACAATAATTTATTATAAAGAGCCTAAAGAGGTAAAGTTTGATTTATAATTAGGTAGCATGATCATTTCTTCTGTCTGGGTGTTTTTTATCTAATTATAATAATATGTAAATATTTAGAAATATACCTCTAAGTATGTATATCTGTTGTCTAGTAGGTAGGTACCTACACATAACACAAGCTCTGCTTAGTTTGGGACTGGACAGCGTAGGTACAGAGTTGTGTGATAGTTGTGGAATATTATTATTATATTATTATAACTTAGGTATTATTTAGGAAGGATGGCTAAAAAGCATATCGTACGTAAACGTAGTGTACCTGCTAGTAAAATATCAAATTCGGTCTAGCCGAATTGAACATTGACCTGAACAAATAGAGAGACAGACAGACGGAAAAATAAATAGGAAAAATACAAAAATAAATAAATAAAAAATGGGTTTAAAAACTATTTATTTGTTTTTTCTGTCTATCTGTCTTTCTGTTTGTTATACGTAGGTACCTATGTCCAAAGGAATAAGTAGTTTTTTTTACCTACTTATCGTGCACATAGCCGTGTGAGCATGAAAAATTCTATGTAGGTAAGGTATTTTAATATTTGGTACAAACTGATACTGCAATTTATTTACATTGTTTAGTATAGGTATATCGATTTGACGATTTATAAATAATATAAGTATCGTACACCTCGCACTATAATACCTACGGACAGTTTACTGACAAGCTTTTATATAGGTAGGCAGGTACTTACTCGTGGCTTCGTTGATAACTAACAATTATATTTTTGTTCAACTTACGTACCGCGAATAATACCTTAGTACCTACCTACCTAATAAATAGGGTACGATCGTGTCATCGTATAAAGGGCATCTTGTGTAGGTATAGAACTACTCCTATCCTACCTATCGACACCACACCACCGCACCGGTCGCAAAGCTCCAGTCGTAAGATAAGGGTAAGGAGAATAGTCTACACATAAGATACAAACCACGTAGGCCACAGCAGCAGACTTTTTCAATAACCTATCTATCTGCAGATTTGCTTACTAGAGATAGAATTTTGACATGAGCTCCATACAAAAAGTGTCAAAAATCTATCTCTAGTAAGCAAATCTACAGATAGATAGGTTATTGAAACTGGACGAAGACGACCGAGTCCAAAACAATAGAAAATAAATAGTCTAATGATTGCACGACAGCGCGTGTCGTGCAATAAATTGTGCAAAAACGCGTGAGCGTCTTCCCTCCGCCCCGCGCCGCTGCCGGGGGAATTTTATCTAATGAAATGCACGATAATTCATCGTAAAACGAGTGCGTATAAAAGTACGATTTAGTGCTTTAGGAAATAGCGATTTTTGAAAAAACCACTGCTTAGATCAATTTCAAATAAATTTTATAGAACTCTCTGGTAATTGTGCTGTGTCGGTACGGTCTACGTTTTGGAGATTTTACACGATTAGTGGTACTTTTTAACACCCAAAGTTGCGGTAAAATTGTCATGAAAAACAAAGCTTTGGTGGCTCATAACTTTTTAATCGTTTTTTTTTATTTATTTTTGTTTCCGTACCGACAAATGTAATTACAAGATAAAACGTTGTCGTGTTTAATTTTGGAGATACAAATTCACACTGTGGAGTAATACCACCCCGAACTTTCTATGGAAAAAATATCGACTAGTGTAACCTTAAATTGTCACAGGAATGTCAATTGGTTTTCGATACATATTTTTTCCATTTCATAGTATCTTGCCAAGAAGGTTATCTTCATTGGGCAGTAAATGTCTCTAGAGTGAATCACACCAGCAATACCGGGTACCTTTTGGAACTATACAGTCTACATTGACCTAATTGTAATTAGTTATATTTCTTACTTTGCTATTATAATTTTCCCTGAGAAATAAACAGGCTCAAATCCGCGTTAAATTAACCCTTCCCGGTTTGCATGCACTGTTATCAACAATTAATGTACCTTTTTCTTCTAGATACTCTATTTTTGTGGACTCTTTGGGTAAAGATGAATCTGGGCAGCAACTCTCTGTTACATACTTCAAGATAAAGGTAAGTCATTCTTATTACAAAATTGATAATTATAATCCAGTATGTACTTTTATGTAAGTTAGTTACGTAGACCTTAGTTATAATTTTGTAAACGCACTTTTGAATTCCATGATATTATTCAATGTGATAATTCAGGAGTGATAAAGGCTAATTTTAGTGATGGTAATGGTGTGTTTCTAATAGTAATATTGGTCAGATTGTACGATTACAAGTTGCAATACTATATCAGTTCGCGGCGGAGCGCGCCGAGCTCCGCGAGCGCGGGGCGTCCCTGGACGCGGACATAGCGCGCAGCGAGCGGGACGTGGCCGCGCTGGAGGCTACGCTGCGGGTCGTGGCCGCCGCGCACCAACACTTCATGCGACACATCTCGCCCGTCAGCGAGGACTGTACGTACCGGCACACATCGTCACCGTCATCATGTACCGTAAAATGGGGTGGATAGGGATCGAGAGGTGAATAGAGACAGAAGAGGGGTGAATAGATATTGGGAAATTGTTCATAGTATCGATTCACCCCTCTTCTGTCCCTATTCACCTCTCGATCCCTATCCACCCCATTTTACCGTTACCGCCTCAATTTTTCTTCATCCAATATTAATATGTCATATGACCTTTACAAGCTGCTAAGGTATCACATTTGGTTGCTACTTGCTAGGTGACAAAAACGACATTCTACTAAATACGCCACGAGATGTGCCCTGCTGAACGTAGGCCTCCCCCACCCAATGACTTAATATACCTAGGTCGGGTAATTGGAAGCAATCTGTATCCTATGTGTACCTGACATCTCATCAATAGACCGTGAAAGTCCACTGCTAGGATATAAGGTCCTGTACTTATGAGGAGTTTGCTATGATTTCCACACTTATTTTTTAAATAATATGGGAAACAAAAGAGTAGCTTTACACTTCATCTCATTGCTCATTGAAGAAGGAGGGAGGAATGTGGAAATTAGTACTTATGAGTTTAACCTTAATGGGCGATTATATTAAAAAGGTACAAATAAGTACTGAGTCCAAACTGTTTCTATTAAAGAAACTTATAAAAAGCTACCTATTCTATTTTAAACATTTAAATTGGAAGAAATAGGAGGATATATATTAAAACATACATTTGAAACATATTGCTCAATAGCTGATTTAATTTTGCAGGTACCTATGTTTCCGTCTGTAATCTATTTTGTAGCGACAGAACTATACTTAAGCGCGACTTGAGTAGCGGTTGAGTATTTCAGCGTTAGGTATTCATAAAATGGCGGGAACTTTCCTACCCATTTTACTACCAATTAGTAGAAAAGTTCCTACCTATGATGCAACATCAAGTCGACAGATGGCGCTGTTGTAAATAAGATGTAAACTTACAAGCTCTTTTAAAATTACTTAAGCATTTTTTGTAAACGTAATGTTTGCTAATTATTTCATTTTGTAAAGTTTAATATAATTAGAACTAAACCAGTTAAAATAATATTAACCCGGTCTAAACATACTTTCTAAGCAGTTCCTCAAAGCGTACCAACAGATGTCACTGTGCCGTGACGTCATTTTCTGAATCGCGGTGTTAAGATTCTCCGGCGTTGAACGACCCTCGCGGTCCGCCGCGATGAAATCATACTTACCTGGCGTAGGGGATACCGTGATCACGAAGGCGGTTCCCCCAGGGCGAGGCCTTTCCATTGCACTGCGGTTAGGTTGACCCCTGCGATTATCCCTAATGTGGATAACTCGGACGCGTAATTTTTGGTAGTGGGGACTGCGTACGCGCCGTCCCCTCAGATGTCTATGAAAATATGCATATTGATGTAACTTTCATAATTTCACACTCATTATTAGTAATAATTTATTACTAGTTCTTATTGCATACTAGCGATAGCGACTCGCCCCGGCTTCACACATGGGTACAATGTATTAATTATACATAAACCTTCCTAAAGAATCGCTCTATCTAATAAAAAATACCGGATCAAAATCCGTTGCAGTTTTAAAGATAGACAGACGGCGGATAGCGACTTAGTTTTATACTATGTAGTGATAACTATAGATAGACTTGATAATCCTACAACAATAAATTTCCGACAATAAGGGCCGATTTTTCAATCATCAGTTAATTATTAACTGTAGAATAAAATTGACTTTTGACAGTGTTTAGTATGGAAGAATTGTCAAATATTCAAAGTTATCTCTCACTATACGTCCAAAAAAAATGTAAAATTATCTGTAATCAGATACATGACAGGGTCTTACCGTCCTTGAAGATTTGATATTGTCTTAGTATTGATTTAATTGTTGTTGATAAGCATGATTCACAATTATTAACGTATGAAATTAGGAAAAATTACTAATCTAGACTATTTCATCAGCAGCCACTTATCGGCTGAGGTAATAGTAGATACTGAATATTGCAGTATAAAAACATGACTAGGACTATTTATATGTATTAGGTATAAGGAAAAATAAGTCACCATACATTGCTTTATCTAGTTGTTCCATATATTTTTTAATTAGTTTAGTCGTAAGTTCATAAATCTTGAACCTATGCAGCTACATTAAACCAATCAAAATTAAACCAATACACCTACATTCCTACCCTATCCTGGTTAGAAAGACCTATGTTCAGTAGGCTATAGACACGGGCTGATGATTCTGATGATCTTGGTTCACAGATTGATTAAAAAATGTCATAAGCTTATTTTTAAGATAGATGCAAAAAATTATCTAAGTTGTGACTTTTTTGCTATAAAATTACTTAATTATTTGTAATTTGTAGCACCTGAAATGGCAGAGCTGAATGGTTTGCGAAATCAGTTCTACGAGCTACGCAATGAGTTCCAATCGCTGCAGGGGAACATTGGCCGCCTAGAGCAGTACATACGGGATGCTGAATCACGACTCACCACTTCTGTAGACAAGACCAAACAGCTGGAAATTAAAAAGTGTGTGTTTGTATACTTTACTACTGTAGATTTAATATTAGAGCTAGTCTCTACATCATATCTGTAAATTGCGCTTAGTAGATCAATAGGCAGTGGGTAGGTCGTTGCCACATAAGTACTGACGCTCGGCCCTAGCAGGATTTGAAACGGGGTGGTTTTTACCTAATAAAAGTCTGACAATTCGTCTCCCCTTACCCCCTTACTCCACTTCGTCTCGTCAGTCCGAGAGGACACCGGTGTCCTCTCTCACCCACTCCATTATTAACCTTATTAACGATACTTAGAGTCTAGTTTTGTATGAACAAGTATGGTTATTGTAACAGTAGCTGGAATTCATTTAATGTTTTACTATCCACAAAAAAGGTAAATGCCAATAATTCTACCTCAGCATAATATCGTTCGGACACATAATATCCTGTTCTCAGTTATCATCTCAGAGTTTTCTAGTAAACACAAAACGTCCATAATCTTATCTGGCAGGACTGCTCACTGAAACGAATGTTTATCAAGAAGCTTCGTAAATTGACCTGTTTTGTGTTATTGACGTCCTTCACACTATCTAAAGTGGTACAACCTCGTACTTCGTGCTACATGAGTACCTATGTACACATTGTACACTCTACAAAGTGATTTGTTATGCAGGAAGAAAATAAAGAGAGTAGGTAGGTATTGTTACACTAAATTATATGGTTTTCAAAGAAGCCATACCTTTTGTAACCATTGGGTTTGCTCAGTAGCCAAACATGTAATGAATCCTTGTTCCTGAATACCAGATCACTGTGCAAATTGTACCTAGGGACCCATAAATATCTTGCTATATACATAGATAGTACTCTACCGACGTGTGCTAGACAGTTAATAAATACTGGCGCCAGCTTAGTTTTCGGCCACTATTGTCTTTCAACCCACGAAATTAATTATACTGCCATTTAAGACTAGACTGCTTATTTTGAGCTGCTGTTTACTTAAATTCTTTTAGCAGATATGATTCATTCATGGAAGATGTTGGTTTGTCGCTTATCTAGACTTTTAATAAGGCTAATTATAAACATTGTATTTTGTTTTTGGTAACGGGAATTGGTACCTACTTCCGAGTGCTGTAAAAACAACCTATAAAATCATAAATATTCTCGGGATTTTTTTTTAAATCCAAGAGACCAAGTGCCTATCTGTCTTGCTTTGATAGAAATGTGTTCTCTTTTTACAGGTCATAATAATATTAACTCCAATAGTTATGATTTATTGTGTAAAGGATTTTAAACTACAATGATCATGTTCCTTTGCCATGTCTGGAAAGTGCATTCTGTGAATGAAGACCTTTTGTACACTTTGTAAGCAAATAAATGTTGTTGTGTGATCAGAGTGGAGACGGAGCAGGAGTTGGAGTCAGCTCGCGACCGCATGGAGCGTCAGCAGGTGCACCTGCAACACGCGCGCGACATAGTCAACAACAACGCCAAGCGCGCCATGAAACTCGTCGAGGGAATCGATGAGTGGAGGCTCTTCCAGGTCATACTCTCTGTTTGATTTTAGCATCAATCAATAGCATCGTATACTTATTGCTTGATTTCTATAAAGAAACGTGGGCATAAAACGTGTTATTTATGAATATTACCGATTTAGATTGAGTTCATTTAATTTAAGGTAATTGCCTGAAAGTGGGTATCACATTTTAGAAATGGAAGAAAAAGTAAGCTAGGCCCTGAGAGAAAATTCACGGGTGAATTTTCTTCCTCGGGAGGGTAGATGTAAAGAACAAGGTTTTCTTAATTTTAAAAAGCAACACATTAGTTTTAGTTCATTCTAAATCATAAGATTTAGTCTTATATATATCTATGTGCATATATGCCTGTCTTTGGGAAAATTGCAATGTTATGAGAAAAAAATGTTTTCAACTCTCAAAGTCAAAATCAAACCATTTATTTCAATTAAACCGAATTTTGGTACTTTTGAAACTTCAAAAAATATAAAATAAATAATAAGGCACTCAAGGCACCGATCACATCAATTCTCGTGTGGGCATACTAATGCGCGGCGGCTAGTTCGCTAGCGGCCATGCGTCATACGCTGTGATGACGTCATATTCCCGACCTCTCGCTATCAGACTGCTATGGGTTGCAGTTGCGAGAGTTTTGCAAAACAAACATTATTATGTAGATAGTAAAGTCGTAATATTACATGAACTGAAATTTTGTTATATCTTCATTAAAAAATATTTGATTGACTTTGCATGATGAATGAGGGGAACTTAGATATTAAAAAAATATATAATGTACACAAGTGTAGTATTTTACAGCGACTGTTGGAATTTTTTAGTTATTTAGTTTTAGTACATTTCAATATTCAGTTAGGCAAAGTTGTTGATGATCTCTGTACACTTTTGGAAGTCTCGCTTGGAACAGAATGCGAATACGCGAGCACTATAAGTTGCTGGCTCGCTAACCGCACGACCAAACGTAAAGGATACTTAAATTTTGGTTTGTAAAGTTTGATAGAGCAGCGCGGTGCGAGTTTTGCGTGCGAAGCTAATCGTTGGCCTGTTATAAAATATCACGAGAGACGCAATCCATCGTCACATAGTTAGAATCAAGCGCACGGTAGTCGGCCACGAAGTAAACGCTCGCATCAAGCGCTGTGTGCCGCCGCGGGAACATTCGACGCGCTAGCACATACAGGCAGCCGGCGACAGCCACGAAGGCTATCGTCATGTTGTTCATACAATTCATGTTTATAATATTCTCTTAATACTATATTACATATTAAAATAGTCGACGGATTCATTTTTAGGTTTTTAGAAACAGACTGTGTATGATAGGTAGAACGGACGTTGGCAACGTCGATGAGAATCTACTCCGTCGCGTCGTTGAAAAGCGCCGCGTAGCATGTCTCTACCTCGCTCGGTGGAGTTGAAGGAGATGAACACGAATGTATGAGCTATCGGCAGTTGAACACCTTAATGTAGTATAATAAAAGGAATATGAAATTTATGAATACTATATACAACGCGATGACACTATTCGTCGCATGGTTTTGTCGACTAGCTTGGAGGCAGACAGCGCTCGACGCGAGACCGTACTTCGTGGCAGATTACTGCAAGCTTGATCCGAACTGTGTGAAACTCTGAACAGTATCGGTTACTGCCGCGAACCGCTGATGTTCTAAAGACTCATGGAACATTGAAATGACTCTGGCGCACGACTCGTCCGCGTCGAACTAGCGCTGGTCACAAGCATACACAACAACATAAAAAAATCATTTGTAAGAGACGAATCTAGTTTCTTACAAATGATTTTTTTTTGCAACTCCTTTTCGCTCGTAGTTTGACCAGATATACATAGGTGTCGTGATACATGAAATCTAGTATCAGTGGTCCGTGTGCTCGTCACATAGTTTGGATCAAAACGTGCGCTACTTCAGCGATGGAGTAAAGATTCGTATAGATGCTGGTCCGCAGCCTATTCTAAAGAAACCTAAAAATGAATCCATCGACTATTTTAATATGTAATATAGTATTAAGAGAATATTATAAACATGAATTGTATGAACAACATGACGATGGCCAGCGTGGCTGTCGCCGGCTGCCTGTACGTATTAGCGCGTCGAATGTTCCCGCGGCGGCACACAGCGCTTGATGCGAGCGTTTACTTCGTGGCCGACTACCGTGCGCTTGATCCCAACTATGTAACGATGGATCGCCTCTCTCATGATAATTTACAAGTGGCTAATGTTTAACTTCGAATGACAAAAGTCGTACGCATTGCAGTCGCTGCTCTGCCAAACTTGTAGTTAGCGAGACCGCTGTTCAAAAATTGTCTGGTTAACAATCATCTGCTTACAAAACTACAAATATTATAACATACAACAAACTGCCAGTCCGTCATATCATGTCGTCCATGGCGGTGGTCAATATATCTACAGATTTTAACTACTGATTATCAGGCAACTACTGATTAACTATTGCAGGAATCTAAACTGTTTTTTTTTGCGAAGAAGTTTTTTTTTGTAATGTCCTAAACCATCCATCACTACTTTGCCTCGAAAGTGTAGGCGGAAGAGTAGCTACATATCATTTACGTGTCGCGGAGAACCTAACGGGTAACCGGGGCTCCGGCTCGACGTGCAGGAGAAGGAACGGGGTGGTTTTTAATCAGTAAGAGTCTGACACTCCCTTCCGCCTCACCCAGGCGGGAGCAGTCATTCGATGATTTTCCCCCCTTAAAAAAAAAAACATATCATTTACGTAAATTATTTTGTCTGTTTTGCTAAAAATATTACTTATTTAAAACATTTCAATTGGTATGCCTAACTTCTATACGTATTCTATACTAGAATTACTATAATATTATAAATCTGAAAGTGAGTTTATTTTGTTTGTTTGTTTGTTCCACCTTTACGCCGTAACTACTCAACCGATTGCTTTGAATTTTTGCAGACGGAAAGTTAGAAGTCCGGATTAAATAATAGGGTACTTTTTAACCCGGAAAAAAATTTTATTCCCGAGGAAAAACAAAAGTATTCGTATAGATGGCGCTGTGTGTATTGGTTTATGTCACATAGGCTACTTTTTATTCTTTTGTGACGCGAGCGAAGCCGCGGGTTAAAGCTAGTTATACATAAACCTGAGGACTATATTCGTTTGAACGCGCTTATTTCTGGAACTGCTAGTCCGAATTGTATAATTCTTGTTGTGTTGGATATTCCATTTATCGAGAAAGGTTAGAGGCTATAAAACATCACGCTACGATCAACAGAAGCCGAGCAGAGCGGGTGAAACCGCGCGAAAGTAGTAATTAATAAAGGCTAGGATTCTGTCTTGCATTTTTTTGAAGAACACCAGCCCTCCAACAGTTTTACCTATTTTTGCTTTAGTTGGTGCTCTGGAACCGTGACTTCTCGGAGGCAGCGCACACAGCCGTCGTATCTCTATGCGACCTCGCCAGTAGCTCGCCTGAGATAGCCTCGCGTTTCGCCGCGCTCATCTCACTCACAGACCTTAAGCAGCATGTGCCTAAGAACATGCGACGACTGCAGATGCTGCTACAGAAGTCAGTTGCATTTTATTTTTATTTATAACGCTGTAGGTTGATACTAGACTCTATGTTAAATCTCCAAGAAAATAACTAATTTTAAGTTGGCAATGCGCTTGTGTTTCCTCTAGACGTGTATTCATGGAGGGTGTATCAGGTGATACTGTATCGAGTTTTTTAGAGTTTAGAAACCTTTTATCTTTAAGTTTATGAGAAAATTAGCAACTTTTCTTTAAAGATGATAGGCGCGTGTTGGCAATAATTGACGATTATGATCAGGAAAAATTATTCGTATGCACATTTTATTATGTAACATGATAAGTTATTCTAATGTATTGGGTAGATATCGTATCCAAATAGGGGGCGGAACCCGATGCTATGTTTCCTGTATTTACTGACACATGGTAGGTATTACTATGAAATAAACCTTATCAAATGTGTGTACCTAAATGAGATGTTCATTGCCCATATCTCGTACGGATTAAAAAAAAAACTAAGCACTTAAGTTCCTACCAGGGTTAGGTTACAAACAGTCTTTTATGCATCTCTGTGTTTCATAACACAAAATAGGTCGCTACCTACTCATGTTTTCTATGTTAGTTATTCTGATCAAATTATTTTTCAGAATCGTGACAGACGGACATTCGATCAGTAAGAAGGAGTCGGCAATAGAACTCGAAGGTAAACTTACGCCCGAATATCTACTAGAAGGCTACTCAATTTAAAATTGTAGTGACAGGACTAGACTTAAGCGCGACTTAAAAATGAGTGAGTGACGATTTAGACATTAGTTGCCGATTCTAAGTAGGTACCTACTTAGTACTTAATTCTAATAAGTAGTTTATTTAGAGCATAATTATGGTATAATGGCCTGCTGGCCTGCTGGTCAAACTAGTATTTTTTGTAAATGCGTAAAAAATAATATTGTTTTAGTTCAAAGTCGAAAATCCAATAAATAAAGACATATTGGAGGAGGTTCACCTGTTGACCACTGTACCAGTTGACACGTGTGCATGATAGCTTTTATTTATTGTAGATAAATAAGTACCTAGTCATCATCAGTTGTTTATGTACAGAATCCGTGTTCTCAACCTCGTCTTCGTCAAATAAGAGTGGCGTGAGTATCGCCAGCGGTTACACCCAGAGACTATGCGGCTTCCGAAGGCAGCTCGCGCCTAAAGTTAAAGAAGATGCGGTAAATATAACTATCCATTTGTTTACTAGGTACCGATTTCAATAACCCAAAATCTTTAACAGATATTCTTTGGAATGTCAATAAAATCTATGGGGAGAAAGTTTAGGGATGGTGGAATTCGTACCTCACAAACCACCCTGGTGTCCTGGTGGCTACCATCACATCACCGTCGATAGGGGGCACTAGATCCTCCAAATAGTTCTAGCTCCGTGTCCCCTTTCACCTGCCTACCCGTTAAAAGAGGCCGGATTGTCCCTTATTTTCCAAACTATGTCTAAATTACGTTACGTTTTTATCACATCCGATTATTTCTTCGATAGCCTCATTATGTTACAAGGGTGGTAATTGCGTAGCATGTCTTGATAAAAACGAAGTACCTACATAATGTCCGATTTTAATCTCATTATCAATTAGTCAGAAGCCGAACAAAATTTGAGCCATCGACTTGGTATTCAGGACAATCGTAGTTAAAATGTACTGAAGATTTGTATAGGTTGATAAATTACCTAATAAAATTTATCGTATTAGCTATAGAATAACAGGACAACCGCTACGCAATCATCTACCTGTTGCCTATATTCTTGTTCCATAATTAGGTACTACTCAAATTCTGTTCCCTATTCTACATCAGTATTGAGGATTTTTTTATGTTTTTCTCATTAACTTTTTTTTCTATTTCAGTTGATTGCCGACATTCCTGAAGAAGGTATTTGTCTATAATTTTTAAATATAAGATAGATACTTATTATCTAACACACCTCAACATTCATAACACCTTAAATTAATTTATTTATAACGAAATGAGAATATTTATTTCTGTAAATAGACTACAAAGTAGCATTTGTAAACGTATTTTAAAATTAGGTAGGTGAGGAAACAACAGTATCACGGTTTCTTTTCATAGCAACCTATAACCTAATCAAGTGGTCTATATTGTTCAAAACACTAGATAGTTAAAATTATCAGTTATCACACTTATGCAAGCATTGACTTCCAGCTCGTCGGTCTACTGTATCATTGCGAGTTATTACTCTGGCGCTGGAGTCGTCTTCAGTTCTCATGGACGGTGCACCATGTGGCCCTGCATCTCGAAGATCTCTTTTGAAGTAAGACTATGACGACTTATCTCTACTAACGGCATGTAACTACTTACTAATACTTGTATTTTGAATATTACTACATAATTATTGTGAAATGGGAATATATTTACTTTACATATTAATAAAATTGTAGTTTTCATTTGAAACTTTAGGTAACTGGACCTAATTATTATATCGAGGTGGTAGTGGATTTGGCATGTTTACTTAATTATAAAAAAAATACTTGATATTGGTGGTTGGTCGATGGATTGTCTCGCTTACACAATAATTGTATCAAGATTTTATTCTCCTTTATTGCAAAACCATAAGTTGATGGATGATGTCTTGGAACTTGTCATTGTGATAATGAAATAAATGAATGTTTCTTAAATGTTGGTTTTATTCTCACATTGAGACACAATTTCATAAAGTGAGTAGGTAGGCAGTACGACTATCTGCCTTGCGTTACCTGATATCGTGTCTTAATAAAGGTAGGTACCTTGTTGTTGCTATAAGTCTCGCATGAAAACCCACGGCTGTACCTGTTATAGCAGCTTAGAAGGACAATTGTTTGTTACCTATTTCAATATTATTGATCAATTGATTCAGGTATTTGTTATTGCTCGTATTTTCAGGTATTGAGGTTGGCTATTAATTACAACTGATAAGTACTCTTCCTACTTTTGAGCGTGGAGCCAAAAGATGCTACTCCTCAGGGCTTGGATAGTTTGGAAAGTAAGAAGTTTTACTAACGAAAACTACAAATATTACTTTAAAATTTATTACAACATTTTTTTTCATATATCTGTTTTACAGGTAGTTTGTCACATACATAATGTCTTTATCCTGGTTAACAAACATTATTGGCAAGAAATAATGGTTTTTCTTTCATACATAAAACAAAATCTTATATTTGGTGGGATTGTTTACAAAGTTATTGTCATACTAAATATTACTATATGGAATCTATTGCGCAAGTCGACTACTAAAGCATGTTTTCTACTTTAAACTATGTGCTAAATTCAGTAAAAATAAGTACAATCTGTGCTTTCAAACTTCAATAAATCTAAAAGGATGATATACATTCATTAATTTTGATATTTACAAAGGAACACCTGTGGTAATAGGATACCTAGGTACATGTAAATAATACCTATATAATTTTTGTGGCAATTGACTTAATTATTTCAAAGAAATAAAGGAAGAATGTATTGTTTAGTAAAATAGTAAAATAATCAAATAGGACAATATTTTAACACTAGGTACTACATACCTGCTTATGAATAACCAAATTTTGAAGGCACAAGGTTTTTAAATGAAATTTCTTAGCCATAAACCTCAGTAACTATTGATAAATACAGACATTTGCAGTATTGTGTATGAAAATATATAAAATAATGAATAATAATAATAATTAATGATGACCTACCTTATGAAATAACGTGGCATAACTAATTAAAAAACTATTTCATAAGCTCAAATCTGTATAATGAGCGCTGTTCTTGTTTATAAAACATGTGGTATCTCTTATGAAAGAGCTCTAAATCGCAACTTTATTACAGCTAAATTAGTACCTAAGTGATCTTATGTGTTCCTTACCAAGGGTGTAGGCCACAGACTACATTATGTGCTAATACCGAGGCCAGGCAAAGATATTTTTAATTTAGGGCCAGTATTCAGGGTGCTCTTTGCATCATTTACATAAGATAAAGTATTAACTCTGAACAAAAAATATATAAATAAAACTTTAAAAGTAACCACATTTTGCAATACAAATAAAATAAAAATGTCACTTGGTAATTAAGTGCTAAAATTAAATCACTAAATTGTTTTTGTAATATATAAAAGTAAAAAATAAATTAAAAACAATCTATAATTTAATAATCAAAACATGAGCCGTTTGTATCAGTAACTAAAAACAATAAAGGAAAAACATTACATAATTCTCATTCTAACACTGTTGACAAAAAATACTACATGCACAAGACAATTCACCACAAATTTAACATTCCTACTTTGAATTTAGCTATTCAACGAAAAGGACACAATGGCTGGAATAGTAACTACCCAGACCAATCGGTATTGGGAATTCAATAGTGAGTAGGCTATTCCTCAATGACTTACATCGTGGCTTTCGCTTTATACGGCGTCGCCTCATATTACTATCACGCCGCCAATTAGGCCTTTCATCGATTGCAAACAGTGTTAGAATATCAAAGCGTCATAAGTCAGGGAATCGCAATGGATCTTCTACAAAGTCATCTGGTATTAAAAAGAGATTAGGAGCAATATCATCACGGAAATCAAATTTTTGAAATGTTATTTTTGCTGTCACTGTGGGCAAAATAGGTATATCAATTTTTACAGGAAACCCTCTCGGCAGCTTCATTGCAACAAATTGACGAAGTTTAGCAAAATGCTTAAAGGGTGCAATCACTTCTAACACGTTTAGCAGCATATCCACACTCAGAGGAAAGTCATCACTCATAGCTATAGTAGCTCGGAAATTGCGAGAGGATTCCTTGTATACAAGCTCTCTGCCTAGGCTGGGATAGAGGCCAGGCGGAGATGATATGTATGAAGCCCAATCTATATTGCTCTCTGGAGGAGGGTTCAGCGATGCACGACGTGTGGGCTCTCCATTTGTATCTAAACTTTGTGTATTTCCTTTAGTAAGACTCTCAATGATAGCCTTATTTTTCTGGAGGTCATCTGTTGATAAATGTTCTCTACGTTTGCGTGATTCCAAAACAAGCCCTGTGATGGTATAAATATCACTTCTGTATAAGCCAGCCACAGTTTCTTTGCGATCTTCTCTAAATATCCAGCCAGACTGTGCTCTTGTAAATGCTATTCCTTTGGTTGACATTTGAGCAGCCAGTATGTCACTTGACATAAGGATATCTACTTCATCTTCTATTTCATTTTCAGTTTCTTCATAGCGCACTCGTTGGTACACTTTAGCTTTGTTATCTAAAACAGTTAGTGATTCACTAGGTGGTTTCTCTCCCTGAAAAATAAAAGATATGTCTCCTCTTTCCCACTTCATGTCAGTAAAATCGACCAATGTGGTATCTAATCTGATTCCAGAACCTGCTTTGTATATTTTACATACATCTGATGGTAATATTCTGGAGACCAGTGGCACCCATGAGTGAAAGTCCCACTTTAGTTCCATATAAAAATCTTGTATTTGTGCCAGTGCTCTAATGAGGTCAGGTCTTCGACGTTCCATCTGTTCTCGGGCTTGCTGCTTCAGTTTGCGCACTAGCGATGAAATAGTTTGGCGGTCACCGTAGCTGATTGCTTCAGCCAAAGGCGACCATCCTGCGAGGTTCTTAACTTTGACTGGCGCGCCGTGTGCCAGTAAGAGCTGCACGCATTCCTTGCGGCCGAGCATAACAGCAAGGTGCAGTGCTGTATTGCCGTGTTTGTCTTTTCGAGCCACATCATGATTTCTTAGCAACGACGAGAGTTTGCGAACATCACCAATAAATATACACTCGTGGAGTGGATAAACATCCTCTTCTTCACTACAGTTAGAAATAGACATCTCGCACACACGGTCGTTTCTAATTCATTACTTTCATTGATATCTAATTAAATAGGAACTTGAAGTGGAAACAATTTTGATTTTAATCTAATCAAGAAGATAAGAAAACGACTTCATATTTTGACTGTCTTTTACAGTATTGTATAATTTTTTAATATGTTCTGACATAAACTTAATTTTCAAACCATAATATTTACTCATTTGTACACTAAACAGAATGATTATTTTCTTTCTTTTACGAAAAGTAATGTGTCCATCATCATTTTTGATTCTGTTCCAATTTCTCAAAGAAAGTTTAATTACATGACATTTGTTCTTTGCTGTCACTTTTACTCTTGCCAAAATTTACATAATGCTATTCTGTTGTCAAATGTCAACATGCTCAAGAATATAATTCGATACTATGGAACGTTCAATACATTTAGTTTAAATTTCACCATTTAGTCGATTTTTTAAGTATAATAGTCGTAAAATAGCAACAATATTTTTTGATAATTATTTAATTAATATTTAATATTTTTTGATTATTATTTTAAATAAAATGCACCATTTAGCATACTTTTCATTCGTAACATTACAGTAAATACATTTGTATTACCAAAACATTGCTTTAGTGGAAAAGTAAAAGGTAGTATTAATGTTCAAATCAAATATCAATATTTTGAAATTAGTATTACTGAATAAACGTATTTCAAAATTGTTAGAAACCGATACCATCACCTAATAACAGCAATAGAAGTAGTGGATACAAAATGTCTCTGTTACGATTATTGTCGTCTTTAATTATTATGGGTCCTGGTGGTCCTGGTGGGTAGAACGGTGGTGCCACATCGTTGCCGTAGATGGGATGGCAGGTAACTGAAAATACCTAAAAAAGAAACAATTATGTGCAATTTACATTTGGTAACTGTTCTAGATGAGAATAAAATTATTAATAAGTAATAAAAACGATCAAGCGCGAAGTCTATGGAACTAATTTTTGGACAGATTTGTAAGCTATGTTTCAGTTATGATGAGTTATATAGGATATACATATGCTATGTACAAAATATTAATAGAATACGTAATATCATTTACTTACAGACACAGTTACTAAAATTGTTAAGCAAAGAAATATTTTTGCAGCCATCTTATTGGTTAGCTGGGCGGTCAAGCAAGATTTAAAGTGCTGTGTAAATGTATAATAATGTTAGCTCTTTTTTACTTATATATATGTTTCTAGCTTATATTGATTACAAAATAAACATTGCTCCACCTACAAATTGATTGTGGTGGGTATTTCAAAATTGGTCTTATCACTCGAACCAAACTTGTACTTAGGCACGTCCAAAAATTCCACTGGGTTAAATTAAAGTTACGAAAGCATAATAAATACAATACCTGCATAAATAAATATGAAAACTAGAAGCAAACTATAACAACAACCAAAGTACCTAAACTGAAGGGGTGACGAGGGTTAGTTATGGGTTTGTTAGAAGAATTACGGTTCTTAAATAACCTATAATGTGTAATTTGATTTTAAGGTATTCATATGTTGACACTATTAATTAGTATTAATTTAAAATACCAATCGAGAGGTAAATTGATGTCGGTTGCAGTGGGTTGCGGGTGGTGCCACACTGCCACAGTATTCTTAAAGTTTTTATTTAAAGGAAGTGCCGCTAGATGGCACTGTATGCATTGTTTTGGTTTTGATCGAGTTTGATTTGAAGCGCAGAAAAAGTTGACAGATGCGCGCACCAGTGAAACGCCTCCGTAGTCTTTTAACTTTTATCATTTTTTATATGAAATAATAACAATAATTCACAATGTACTTTAAAATCTTTGAGATTATTACCAGTCATTTCTTTAATTCAATTTAAAGTGCTCATCGTTGTATTGGTTCTACGAAACACTGCACCCGAGAGACTGCTCGATTGTATCAGTGTAGTTTTAAAGATAAGATTAGTATTGATTGGAAATCTGTTTGGTTTATTGCTGTTGATTGCTTAAAATCTTTAAATGATATTTTATGATCTCTCCCATGATAGTGCATTGTCTAAGACTCGATTTGTTATTGTGACTTGCGGCGTCATAATAAATAAATGAACTGACTGTATACTTATCTGAAGATTCCGGTTTTTTGTTCCTGGTTCCACGAGAAAAATTATCTATAATGTAAGTACTAAATTATTTTAAGTAACTATATTTTAAATAAGCGCATTCAATGGCGTGCGAATCTGCATACCTAACTGTATTCCCCACAAACCAGGTAAGTGTAACTATGTAACAGCACGACAAAAAAAGAAGGTTTTATAAGGTAATACAGTGAGAAATAATAACGAGAAAAACTAAAGACATTTTCAATTTCCAATGACTCATAATTTCTATTAGACCAATAAGATTTTATTATTGTTTTGCCAGCTGTAAAAATATGAGTGTAAAGTAGGTAAAGTCAACTCTAAAAAGTCCATTTTGTTATGTAAAATAATTTTCTTTAAAGTGTATGTCTTTTAAATATAATACATGAGGGCTAATTCTTAATAAATTGTTATAAGAAAAACCACAGACAAGTAGTCTACCAATGTAAAGGTAAAGTAAACTTTAGGTAGGTATTCAAAAGATATTATTCAAATAAACATTCAGCAAAATAATATGAAATGTATATGGAAAATGAAGACTTTCAATCTAAACCTATAATATTTACTGGAATAAATTTAACAATCACTTTATATTTTAAGTATTTTTCATATCAGCTAAAAATAAATAATAAGCTTGTTGTTATTTGGTTGTATGCATGAAATACAAATATTGCTACAGTTTTAAAATATATCCTACTATTTTTTGGATTCACTAAAATAATATTTATGTGTAAAAAATAATTATTATAATATAGCTATTACCAATACCAAGTTGGGGACCAATATTATAAGTATTTATATTTATTATGAAAAGGTGATGCCAATTCTACACTATTAGATATTGTCATACATTTATGAGTTTCCTTTGAGGAGAAACAATAGCTGTTTTTAAACTAAGCTATTGTCTTCTAATAATATATGCTTTATTGGACATCATTATTGTGCACACAGTTAACAGCCCATAAACAGCATATTAAAATGTTTTATTTCTTGAATCTTAATTTATTGTTATATAAACTTTTAATGATGACACGGTTTTGTGTCCAGGCTATTCATTTTTAAATAATATAAAAAAATGGTATCCCATGAATTATGTTTTAACATGCCTTATGCTCGTACTAACAGCACGTTGCTTTGGACTGCTGTTTGACTGGAAACTATTTGTCTTGAAAACAGTGTTACATCACTTCATGGTCGTCCAGTTCAGATCACTATTAAGCTTAAGAAATAGGTAAATGAAATTTTCCATCTTTTTGAAGGTTGTTAAGGAACAAATTGCTGTGTTACCGAACAATTTTACAGGTGTAGGTATGTTTGGTTTAAAAGTAATTTTTCCCCATGTGATGATGTAAGTCAGTTTTCTACTATAACTGGCTGTGACCAGGTGTCGGTGTGGTGTAAAGAATTTTAAATACAACATTAATGCATTATTCTATTCGGTGACTTATGTATGTAGATCTGTTTGTATTTTATTGTTGATTGTATTGCACCTGCTGCAGTGTATGTAAAATAGTAATTACCATAAAAATAAGGATTTAATAAAAATTGTTAATAGTGCTATATGACATCATACCTGTCTACCCTCAGAGGTAAATAGAAGTTAGCTAATAATTTACCCACCTACAACTTTAAGAAAATGAAATGTTTCAAATTCATCGTCTTGATGTAATTTGAATTAACATAAACGCTCATTGTCACAATTGAGGAGCTCTTAAATTATTAAAAAACACATAGCTCTGTACGTCGACTACGTATTTTTTGTTTGTGAGTGACTTTATTTTCGTACTACCTATTTCTAAGTTGCCTGTCATAATATGTACTTAAAGTTATAATACAAGTGTTGATATATTGGTCATGTCTGTCTACCTACTTTTATTTTGACCGTCGTGTAATAGATTCTGGTTTATTAGGCTAATCGAATGACGCAAATAGTGTCTTGAAACACAAAGAACTAAAAACTATTTCAGCTAGATAGTGAAAACTGCGCACTTTTATTTTCATCACTTTTTCCTCTTTTATTTTTCGTGAATTTCTTCCTTTCACCATGTCCATGTTGTGACGGAAGAAGTAGTATTGAAATCATTTTTTTCTACATAATTCTTTGTCACATGTTGCAAAGGTCAAAGTAAAGATTACGCTAAATGAAATTATTTTTAAACGCAGCATTCGTACTTTTTTACTGTTGATCTTATTCAAAACAAACTTATTGACATCATGTTCAGATTTTGGCCTTATCTCAGCATAAATAAAGGGTTATCTGCCACAATAACTTATCAGTACTTGTTTTCACTTCGTTAATGTCAGACTGGCAGTTTAATAAAATAAATTCTTAAGTGATATTTCAATAATACACCTGTGCTGTGCAGATTCCAATTGATTAAATTTTCAAAATATAATAATCTCGAGTATTTAATTGGAGTTTATCATCTTATTAAGTGAATTTCTTAAGCTTCTAAAGCAAAATAAGTAAGTAAATTATTTAATTAATTAATTTAATGTAATAGTACAGTAATAAGCGTTCATTGGTTGCCACAGCCTGCCTACCGTAAGACACGGTTTATTTCACAACTACAAAACGTTTTTTTTTGTGTTCGTTATTCCAGTATGTGTTTAATTAAATGCCTACAATTTAAAAACCTAGACAGTCGTGTTGCCAGGGAGTGCATAAATACACAATATGTAATCCAAACCAGGGCCAAACTGCAGACATCGTCTGTTCAGCATATGGGTTGATAAAATATGTTTTTGATTGTGTCACCAGCTCACCAGTCTCTCACAACTACACTAGAACGTGCGGATGGCATGTATCAAACGATTTCTCAATACATACTGTTTTTATGTGTAAATTCAACATTTTTTTCGCACATTTATGGACAGACT